GGGGAGGGTCCCTGGCATGGTGTGTAGGGCGGGGTGGCCAGGGTGGTCTATGGGGCTGGGTCTTCTCCTGGTCCCTTGGGCTGCACTATGGGGCTGGGTCTTCTCCTGGTCCCCTGGGGCCTTGGTTTATTCTATGGGGCTGGGTCTCGGGGTGCCCAACGGGGCCAGCTCCACGGGCCCCCCGAGACACCTGGGCCCCGCGGTGCAGCAAGCCACGGTGATCCGCGAGGGCCACAAGGAGCAGATCGACGCCGACCGCATCGTGGTGGGCGACGTGGTGGAGATCAAGGGTGGCGACCGCGTYCCCGCCGACATCCGCATCCTCAGTGCCCAGGGCTGCAAGGTGGGAGCCCGCCCGGACGCCGGGGCCCCTTGGGGTGGCCTTGGTCACCTGGGTCATCGTGGGGTGGCCTTGGACACTTGGGTCCCCCAACTCCCCCCATGGGTCCCTATGGGGTCGGGGCACTGTGGGCCCCCCCGGACGCCTGGGCCCCCCCAGGTGGACAATTGGGTCCTCATGGGGTGGCCTTGGACACCTGTGTCCCCTTGGGGGTGGCCCTGAGGAACTCTTGGGACGGGGGCCATTTTGGGTTCCCCAACATCTGCCCCATGCTGTGGCCCCCACCCCCGGACGCCTGGGCCCCCCCAGGTGGACAACTCGTCACTGACGGGGGAGTCGGAGCCGCAGAGCCGCTCGCCCGAGTGCACCCACGAGTCGCCGCTGGAGAGCCGCAACGTGGCCTTCTTCTCCACCATGTGCCTCGAAGGTGCCGCCCGGACGCCGGGGCTCCTCGGTGCCACACAGGGGGGGTCCCATCCGCCCCACATGTTGGGGTCCCTCTTGTCCCCCTCAATGGGACCCCTCCTGCCCCACATGTTGGGGGTCCCCCTTCTCCTGCTCAACCTGGGGCCCCTCAACGTCAGCTATGGGGTCCCACCTGCCCTAGACATTGGAGGTCCCCCTTTTCCCCCCCCCAAACCGGCTCCCCTCCCGGACGCCTGGGCCCCTCCAACACCAGCTATGGGGGCCCTACCTGCCCCACATGTTGGGGTCCCTCCTGGGGACCCCCTTGTCCCTCTCAACCTGGTTCCACCTGCCCCAGATCTTGTCCCATTCAACCAGATACCCCCTCAGACACCAGGGCCCCTCAACACCAGCTATGGGGGTCCCACCTTCCCTGGTCATTGGGGTCCCCCCAACTGACCCCCCCCTCCCCGGACTCCTGGGCCCCTTCTCCCCACCCAGGCACAGCCACGGGCCTGGTGATCAACACGGGCGACCGGACCATCATTGGGCGCATCGCGTCGCTGGCGTCGGGCGTGGGCAACGAGAAGACGCCCATYGCGGTGGAGATCGAGCACTTCGTGGACATCATCGCCGGCCTGGCCCTGCTCTTCGGCGGCACCTTCTTCACCGTGGCCATGCTCATCGGCTACCCCTTCCTGCGCGCTATGGTCTTCTTCATGGCCATCGTGGTGGCCTACGTGCCCGAGGGGCTGCTGGCCACCGTCACCGTGAGCCCTGGGGCGCAGTGGGGCGCTGTGGGGCGCTATGGGGTGCAGGGTCCATTTTTGGTCCAACCCAACCCTTGGAGGTCCCCATGGGTCCATAGACACCATGGGAGCTCCCTATGGGTCCAACCCAACCCATGGGTGCCCTATGGATCTATGGGCACCATGGGAGCTCCCTATGGCTCCAACCCAAGCCATGGGTGCCCTATGGATCTATGGGCACCATGGGAGCTCCCTATGGCTCCAACCCAASCCATGGTGCTCCATGGGCTCTGGAGGCCCCTTTGGGCCCGCGGGTCCATCTCAGGCGCCGCCCGCCCCCCAGGTGTGCCTGTCGCTGACGGCCAAGCGCCTGGCGAGCAAGAACTGCGTGGTGAAGAACCTGGAGGCCGTGGAGACGCTGGGCTCCACCTCCACCATCTGCTCCGACAAGACGGGCACCCTCACGCAGAACCGCATGACCGTGGCCCACCTGTGGTTCGACAACCAGATCCACGCGGCCGACACCACCGAGGACCAGTCGGGTGAGGCCGGGCGCCGGGGCCCCTTTCCCGGACGCCTGGGCCCTTCCTGGATGCCCAGGCCCCTCCCACCCCACCCTTCCCCCCGGACGCCGGGGCCCCCCGCCTTGAGGCGCTCACCAAGCCCCACCCCCAGGGCAGAGCTTCGACCAATCGTCGGAGACCTGGCGGGCTCTTAGCCGCATCATCACCCTCTGCAACCGGGCGGTCTTCAAGCCCGGCCAGGAGAACGTCCCCGTGGCCAAGGTCTATAGGGGCTATAGGGGCTATAGGGACTGTAGGGCATATAGGGCTATAGGGGGCTATGGGGCATGTGGGGCTATAGGGGGCTATAGGGGTTATAGCGGCTATGGGGGCTATAGGGGATATAGGTGGCTATGGGGGCTATAGGGCATGTGGGGCTATAGGGGGCTATAGGGGGCTATGGGGGATATGGGGCTATATGGGTCTATAGGGGGCTCTAGGGTGTATAGGGCTATGGGGTGTCTATGGGGTCTATAGGAGGACCATAGGGTATAAAGGGGCTATAAGGTGTCTATGGGGTCTGTAGGGGTCTATAGGATGTATAGGGGCTACAGAGTGTCTATGAGGTCTGTAGGGGTCTATAGGGTGTATAGGGGCTATAGGGTGTCTATAGGGGGCTATAGGGGCTACAGAGATTCTATGGGATCTATAGGGGGCTACAGAGGGTCTATGGGATCTATAGGGTGCCATAGGGGTCTATGGGGGCTATAGGGTGTAGAGGGCTCTATAGGGGGCCAGGAGGGGCATCCTTGGAAGGGAGGGCAGGGAGGGGGCGGAGCAGGATTGTGGGCGGGTCCGTGCGAGGATCCGCCCCCTGAGGCCCCGCCCCCCACAGCGTGACGTCATCGGGGACGCATCAGAGACGGCGCTGCTCAAGTTCGCGGAGGTGACGGTCGGGAACGTGGCCGAGCGCCGGAGCGGCTGCCCCAAACTGTGCGAGGTGCCCTTCACCTCGGCCAACAAGTTCCAGGTGGGCCCCGGCGTCCGGGAGGGGCCCTGGTGTCCAGGAATGGGGTCCAGTGTCCGGGAAGGGGCCCCGGCATCCGGGAATGGGGCTTCAGGTGTCCAGGAATGGGGTCCAGTGTCTGGGAAGGGGCCCCGGCGTCCGGGAATGGGGCCTCGTGTCCAGAAAAGCGCCCAGGTGTCCGGGCAGGTCCAGGTATGGGGGAAAGGGGCCCAGGTGTCCGGGGGGCCCGGCACCCGGGAAAGGGGCCCAGGTGTCCGGGGGCCCTGCGCCCAGGGGTGACGCCCGCGGCCCCGCAGGTGTCGGTGCACGCGGCCGGCGAGCGGCTGCTGCTGGTGCTCAAGGGTGCCCCCGAGCGGGTGCTCGAGCGCTGCCGCAGCGTCCTGCTCAAGGGCCAGGAGCTGCCGCTCGACCAGCAGTGGCGCGAGGCCTTCGAGGGCGCCTACGCCGAGCTGGGCGGCCGCGGCGAGCGCGTCCTGGGTGAGCGCGGGGTGCTGTGGGTGCAACGTATGCAATGGGTGCAATGCAGTATTGCAATGGGTGCTCTGGGTGCAATGGGTGCAATGCAATATTGCAATGGGCGCAATGGGTGCAATGCAATGGGTGCTATGGGTGCAAAGGGTGCAATGCAAGGCTGCATGTGCAAAGTGTGGGTGCAATGCAATAGTGCAACAGGTGCAATGCACAGTTGCAATGTGCAGAGTGATGCAGGGGCGACACGGACCGTGCAGGGGGCCCCCCCGTC